TGCCCTGTTCGTTTATTTATTTATTTGTTTGGGTCGAATTTAGTATTTGAAGTTTGACCACCTTTCTGTAGACAGATTGATCTGAAATTTGGTACACCCATTCAGTTTTGATGACAATATAATTTAATGAATTCTGTATTATTGTAAATCCAAAATGGTCGCAGCTACAAAATGGCGAAATATATATTTTTTCACAACTACCTCAATATAGGTATCAAATGACAGAGCTTGACTACTAAAATAGTAGGACACTACTAGTCAAGCGTGTACTACAATTCTACTGAGTTGACAAAGAACTTTGTCAAGTCAAAATCGGAATACTTCTAAGGATATCCTACCCAAGTCAAGATTTTTTATCGTATCGAGGGGTGTGTGGCGTTAAGGTAAAAGGTTAAAAGTTAAAACGTGAAAAGAACTGTGTGTCATTAGGGTAGATAAAAATTAGAAACTGAAAACTTGAAAATAGAGTAAGTAAAAAACATTTTTTATGTTTTATCGAACAATGTACTGAAAACTGAAAAATAATTCGAAAGGTCCTAGGTAGTAGCCATCACACCACTATCTACGGCAATCTACGGTATTCATCGAATAAAAAAATAATAAAATCGGGCATAGTATTTACATACCTATTCAGGTTACGCTATGCACAATGATTTTATTATTTTTTTATCCGATCAATACCGTTGATTGCTGAGGAGAGTGGTTTGATGACTGCTACTTAGGACCTTCCGAATTATTTTTCAGTTTTAGTACATTTTTCAACAAAACCGTTCAACATAAGAAGTGTTTTTACTTGTTTTATTCTATGTTCCATATTATCAGGTTGATGATATTTGGATATAATTTAACAGCCTTAAGGGATTTCAAATATGTGATCTCTTTTCAAAAAAGTTCTGATTGGGAGATTACGGAGATTTTTGCCTCGAAGATGAGTGCGAAGTGGTCGACCAACAGTAATCCAGGACGTGAATTCGTGGACCTTGGTTGAGACTGACTGACCCATCACAAAGGTACTTGGGATGGCGGAAGAACTGGGCGTCGGGTCCCATGCGGTTTTCGATAGGGTGCCACCCAGGCACTTACCAGAGACATAAAAAAAGACCAAGGCTACTGTATGGTGGTCAGCGGCTGGTGTGATTGTCTGCAGCTGGGCCAAACCATCGCAGCAGAGTCCTATTGAGAGGAGTAAATCGACGAAATGTACCAAAAAACTGCGTCATCAGCACCCGGCACTGGTCAACAGAAGAGGCCCTATCCTGCTTCACGACAACGCTCGTCCGCACGTTTTCCGAATCACTGTTCGAAAATTAAATGAAATTCTGCCTCACCGACCATACTCTCCAGATCTCTGGCCATCAAGTCCCAAGCTCCCAATTTTTATGCTGACGAAATTATTCAAGTTGTGTTACGTTGAAAAAAGTCACTGATTGAAATGGTGCTTATTTCGATTAAATTGAATATTCACCGAGATATTACAGTTCAACGTAGACGCATAAAAACGGAAAACCTAATACATTGTGCTAATGTATGAAATATGTCAATCGATATATTTCAAAAGTACCAATTGACAGATTCAACTTAATTTTGTTAATGGGAAAATGAGAATGTTCACTTTTTAGATATGATGGCAGATCTCATTAAATCTGGTAATTGACACTTTTTAACTTTGTCAATTGACACGTTGATAATCTTCCGTGTTAGGAATCACACGTTAAAAGGTAAGACCTCGTTATTCCTTAGCTCGCACAAGTTTCTCAACTTCTGAAAGTTGTCGTTCATATGGGGGCGACAGCTGATTAACGGAAGAACATATTTTAAACAGATTAAACAAATCAGAATCAAATATCTCTGGGAAGTTCAGTCAGTAAACTCTTATCCCGGATACGCTCAAAGGCTTTGGATAAAACAAAGATATTTTTTGGTGATTGATGAGTTGCATATGTAAGGTAACCATATTGACGGTCGCTTAGAATGTAATGAACAGTTTTCTGTCAGATTTTCGATATCACTGATAGAAAACCAACGGACGAAGTGCTCTAATTTTCTTCCGTTGAGAGAGAATTACCATCAATTAAGTCTGGCTACCTGTACTTAATTGCACATGTATTAGTCATTCATTCAAAGGAACGACGCAACGCAATGAGATTACACCGAAGACCCAAATCATAATTGCAGTATCTGCTGTGAGGATAACTGGAGCAGTTCGTCCGTTGCCGCATTGAATTTGATATCTGCCTCATACACAAGTTAATAAAAATATTCTCGGACAGTCAAGCGTCAAGCTCTTGACTCCCACCGAGCAACTTCTAAATTGGAAGCAAATTGACAAAAACCACTCTCCTCGATAGGAAGACTTAACAGATTGTCTCTGGTCTGGATTTCTGGCCACACTGGCCTGGAAGACAATGAAGCTGCTGACTCCCTTGCAAAGGAGAGAGCTGCAAGCAGCTTCATCGGACCAGAACCTGTCATTGGCATCGCTTTAGACTTTGCCAAAGAAACATTGAACACCTGGATGGCAAGAAGATTTATGGACTTCTGGCAGAATCTTCTAGGATTGGTTCACTCCAAGACGTTTATTCACCCTTCGAAGCTTAATACCAAACAGTTGTTGGACTACAGTTGGGATGAACTAGGATGTCTAACAGGCCTTCTTACAGGTCACTGTCATTTGATTCATCATATGCAGAGACTCAGACTCTCGAAAGACAGTGTGTATCGCCTCTGCTTGGAAAATGATGAAACATCAGAGCACATACTTTGTGCCTGCCCCGCTGGGGACCGAATCAAGTTTGGTAGAGCCATACTCTCACCATCTGACCTGAAAGACCACTCATCATACAAACTAATCAGCTTCGTTAGGAAGCTGGGTTTATTTGGTAGAGTGTGAAAAAGTGTGAGCCACAATACATTCTTGCGGGTTGCGATGGAGGGTCGAATAGACCCTCTCACTTCAGACCTAACCTAACCTAACATATACAAACCTACAGACCACCACCCAGAAAGTAGCTTTGATAAGTTAGACTGGATATTGCACCCTTGTCACACGAATTATTGGAGAACAAATTTATACAAATGCATAGACTTCATTTCTTCATCAGCTCATCGTAAACTCTCAAGTTGGCGAATTTTAAAAATATTCATTTATTCTTTTTGGCCTTGTCTGATTATTTTCACGAGAACAGTTATGAAAGACGAAATGTAACTTGAAATCAAATTTATTTTTATATTTGCAGTCACTTGGAAGAGATATGAATCCATACTTAATGAATAGGGGCTCGCAGAGTTGCTGAAAGAGCACGCTTCGTCAGTTATTCTTCAGTGCTCTATTATAAAACAACAATAGCATGACTAGCGTTATTTCTTGAAATAGTACCGTACCTAACTAATATGCGAAGAAAGCGAGAACAACACAATGTGTTTATGTATAGAGGGTATCTTGAATTATGTCATTGTTTCAGGTGGTGATTAATTGTCATATTTTATGAAAAAAAGTTCATATGATCGTATTTCCTAACTTGCTTCTTTGTACAAAATCCCAATTTTACTTGTGAAGTTTCATTGGCAATCACAAACTTTCATAACAAAATTCTCTCATAACAAAAATTCTTGGACCTACGAGAATCCCCATGCTACTGTAGAAAGTGGATTTCAGCAGAAATTTTCGGATGACTATCATCTCATTGGGCAACATTTACTTTCTCGTCCACCCAAAGGTGTGACGTAAAGAGAATTTCTAGAAGATACATTGCCAGATTTGTCAGAGGATGTACCTTTGCTAGTAAGACTAAATATTTGGTTTATGCATAACGGGGCATCTGCTCTGGATATCTTACTGATACTTTCACTAATCAGTGAATGGGTCATGGAGGACCTCAACCATGGCCACCTAGATCTCCAGACTTGAACCCTCTGGTTTTTTCGATAGGAGGGAACAGGATGATTTATGTTTTTTCATAATTCAATTAGCCCTAGTGCAGGCTTTTCAGAAGTAATTCAATTATGAGGGTAATTGCGACATGTCCAATAAACATATTTTCTTTCACCAATCAGTTTAACAATAATTAATTTTAGGACTTTATGTTTATGCAATAAAGAAATTGTGAGTCCTACAACAATAATATCGCCTGTTTTTTGAAAGAGAGATTTGGACATGGCTTACAAAACAAATGATAATTTATGCAAATTTATTAAATGTAATAAAGACAAAACTTCAGTGTCGGATTGATTGAGAGTATATTGGTCAAACGGGGGGAACCTTTCACCAACGAATGAAAAAAAATCAGTTTCTTGAATGTGTAGACCACATTTGTAAACAATCTTTTGGCAGAGGGGGATTAGTTCAATCACGATTGTGACGTATCCATTTAGAAAAGAAAGGTTTGAAACTCAATCTTTTGGATTGCTTGAAAATCTATAGATTCGAAATAGAAATGCATAATTTATCTTTCTCAAATTTGTATTCTAACGTTTTAATTTTTAATTAGTTTGTACGCGACCTTGGGTAAAATTATCAGTCATCAACCATAAGTAGAAAAAGTCATATAATTCATATGAAGCATTAAGTGGGTAGAATCTAAATAGAAATTACTTTAATTTTTCAGTTTTTGGAAGAAAATTTTAATTTTGAGAAAAAACTAGTAAGATTCTTGGTGTATGAATCATAATCTCGAAAGGTTTTGATTTTCTACTTTTCCATCTGCATACAAAAATATGTGATAATCTTCCAAAGAAAGGAAGAAAGCAATTTCGAAGATTTCCACATTTTTTTTGTATAATGGTGGAGAAATAGAAAGACGAAACCTTTCTTTTCCAAAAATCCGAATCTTTTGTCAATGCCCAACTTCATATAAGTCCGTGCAAACTATTCAATAAGAAATATATTTTATACGTCTATTCAATAACTTTTGGTGATTTAATTTAATGAAAAAATGTTGAAATGTTCTCATGGGCATCATAACTAAACCCTGTTGAGTACTATGATTCATAATAAAGCTCACCCGAAGTCGTAAAATTCCCAGTTATTTCCCCTTTTGTCACCCTGAGGCATAGAATAACTGATGACTCCATTAGTCCATTCGCAACCGTATAGTTCAACCCTCATACAAACTGTTCTCTTGTGGTAACTGTACGGGTAGAACCGCAACTTGCTGGCCCATATGGGTGGAATAAGTTCTCTCTTCGCTTCTAGGTATGGGTTAACATTACCAGGAATAACCTGAAATAATTTTTACATATATTCTAGTGAGAAACTGAGGGTTGAATAAATTATATAGGGTCTTTCAACAGGGACTTCCGAACTTTCACAATTGATAACGGCCATCTTGTTGACGGTACATCGATCCAATTAGTTTTCATCTAATCAATCTGTTTCTCCATATCCCCATGGACGGAAATAGTAACAATACTTCCAAACAATGAAGTTGTTTTATCAAAATGGGTGTTTTGTTCGGGCAACCTACCGCGCGCTTCGTCCATTTTACGGTGGCCATAATCGTCCTACCGAGAGAACCATTCGCGATGTGGTGGATAAATTTGAGTCCGCTGGTTCAGTAAATGATCCACCAACACCCGTACGTCGACTAAACGCAAAATCTGCTGAGAACATTGCCGCTGTCTGTGAGAGTATGCGACAATACGAGGCAGCCGATTTCACGTCGCTCACAAGAACTTGGCCTTTCGCAGACCTCAACTTGGCGAATTTCGGGTCGTGACTTGGGTTTGTATCCGTACAAAATTCATCTGACCTAGGAACTGAAGTATACGACCATAGACAACTATGTGTGTTCCATGAATTAGCTCTAAAGTGCTTGACAACTGACACTAATTTTCATAGCGATGTGGCCCATTTCTGGATGAATGGGTACGCGAACAAACAAAATTGTCGAATTTGGGACGATACCAATCCACATGAGATCCAAGAGTATCCAATGCATCCCGAAAAAGTCTTTTTGGTGTGGATTTTGGGCTAGCGACGTCATCGGTCCATATTTCTTTGAGAACGACGTTGTCCCGGCCATCACTGTCAATGGCAAGAAATATAGGTCGATGATTACCAACTTCTTTTGGCCTGAATTGGATGATCTAGACAGCAATGTGTTTTCAACCGGACGGCACTATTTGCTACATTGGATATTCTCCACGAGCAATTTGAGGGCATTGCCATCTCACCTGAGATAATGTGAACTGGTCATCGAGATCGTGCGTTCAACCCCGTTAGACTTTTTCTTGTGAGGTTTCCTTAAGTCGCAGATGTATGCGAATCAGCCACAAACCACAGACCCATAACTCATGCCATCGATCAAATTCAGCCTGATTTATGCGCCAGAGTCATGGAAAATTTGACGTTTCGCTGCGCTCCACCCAGGGAAGCCATGGCGGAAATTTGGGACAGGGTGTCAATTTGAAAACCTCCCACCCTTAATATCTTCCTTCCAGTAAATAATATGAGGAATTGAAAAAACAAGTCAAGTTTATAGTCAAGGGGGATACTTTCAAGAAATATTTGTAGCCCTCGTGATTTAACCCCCAAGGAGAGGTAGATGTTACCCTTAGAATCTTAAATGGGAAGGGGTGTCAAGTGGCACATCATTTTATTTGGCGTTCAATTCTGTTTCCAATGATACCCTGAAGTTTTATTTTTTAATGAACAGTTTCCGAAAAATAGCGTTCTAAACTTACACATGTAACTAGAATTTGCCTGTTCTGAGATGCATTATTGTATTAACTCCTTTTGATAGAAATGGTTAAAAGTGGCACCGTCCCAACCCTTGAATTGAATTTGTTGGTTATTGTCCTTTTACACAATAAAATTTAATTCGCTAGAAAGACATTTCAAACATAAAATATACTTGTAGTCCATTTTGCTGTTAACACTAATAAAGTATGTATGCGAACTCCCCTCTAACATTACAGAAAACTTCACTACGGCATGCTGTTGTAATTCGTCTTTTAAGTTTTTCAATATCAGAAGGTTGTGTTTTATAAACAATGGATTCAAGATGCTCCCAAAGAAAGAAACACAAGGGTGTTAAATCCAGTGATCTCGGAAGCTATTCAACTGTTTCCTTTCTGCCAATCCATCTATCTGGAAATATCCCATTTAATCACTGTCGAACAGGAAAGAAATAATGAGGTGGAGCACCATCCTGCTGGAAATGTAACAGATTCTCCTGCAAAAGTTCATTACCTTCTGCATCAATTTGAGTGTCTAGGTCGTGAGTTAGAAGAGGATCGATAGTCTCTTCAAACATTTTAAGGTACAGATTGCGAGTCAAGTTTTCTTCCAGAAATAATGGACCAATGTGGCATTTCCAAGAATCTCAGCCCCAATAGTGACAATTTTGTCTACTAACATTGATATTCAGAAAAAACTCATCGCTGAAACAGATGTGTAGCAGATGATTAGGGATGATATTGACTCGATGAGACATGATTTCACAAAATTCTATTCTTCTATTATAATCAACCTCGTGGAGATCCTGAACAATCTGTGTTTTATAAGGATGAAATTTATGCATTTTCAATGCTTTTCTTGCAGTCTCGAGTGATTCTCCCGTCTGTTCTGATACTGATCGTAAAGAGCTCGTGGGCTCTGCAGCAAATGTTCCCAAAGCTTCATTTTGAGCTGATTCATTTAGTACTCAGGGGTTATTTCTTTTTTTATTTGTCACTGAACCAGTTTCGTAAAACTTATTCCCCATATCAAGCCAATACCGGTGACTTACGTTACAGTTTGGATGCCTTTTGTTAAAAAGACATGCCGCCCTTCGTGTGCACTTTCTAACTTCTCCATAAATTACAATAATTTCAATTATGTCTTAATGAATGTAAACCATTTTTACACTTTACACAACCTACTGTGTAGGTATATTCGAGACTGGCTTGGATGTTTGAAGTTCATTTCTTTAGATTTGTTTACTGTCAGTCTTCAAGCATTGCCCACTGACTAATAAGGAAATTTTTCTTTTTTATTCCGAGGAATCGGGAAAACTACGGATATGCAGTTGGCTAGTACCTCGTCCACTAGATGGAGTGACATTTGGTGGTTTCGCTCCAACTTAGGAAGAGGAATTAAATACTCTGAAAAAATTCCGATTTTCAATTATGGAATATCATTGACTTTAGGTTGATGATGGTCACTATATTGCACTGATGAGTGGCTAATGAGCCCGAAACCGGTCTGCAAGTGTTCCAAAATTGAAGGTCGACACTTTCAGTTGTATTGCTAATTGCATATGCAGGAAATTTTCTGAGAAGATTCCTGCACTGACGCCTGTCGTATATAATCCAACGCCCTCAATTATGGAATATCATTGACTTTGGGTCGATGATGATCACTATATTGCACTGATGAGTGACTAATGAGCCCGAAACCGGTCTGCAAGTGTTCCAAAATTGAAGTTCGACGCTTTCAGTTGTATTGCTAATTGCATATGCAGGAAATTTTCTGAGAAGATTCCTGCACTGACGCCTGTCGTATATAATCCAACGCCCATCGTGGTATTAGCCAGGGGAGTAGTTGTTTTCTGATAGGCGTCAGTCCATTTAACCTACTGTGTAGGTATATTCGAGACTGGCTTGGACGTTTAAAGTGCATTTCTTTAGATTAGTCAGTGTATCATTGAAAGCAGAATTGAACGCCAATCAAAATGATGTGCCACTTGACCCCCCACTTCCCATTTGAAATTATAAGGGTAACATCTACCCCTCCCAGGGGGTTGAACGACGAGGGCTACAAATAGTCGTTGAAAGTGTCCCCCTTGACATTTTTTCGATTCCTCATATTGTTTACTGGAAGCAATATATTGAGGGTGAGAAGTTTTCAAATGACACCCCGTATACCACACATCATGGCGTCAATAGGCCTTTCGAACGAATAAAAAATTCCGATGATAACTCACATACTTTTTTTATTTAGATTTAAAGATAGGAAGCGGTTGATGAAAGACCCTATACATGTAAGGCAAGTATCTGCTGTCACCATCCAAATTTGGATAAAAAATATCATTACCTCTTCTCCTTTGCTGTTATGGTATCGAACCCATTTTCTTAACCTTGGTCTCCAATATTCTATTATGTAGGCTTCGGCATATTCTATTCCTTGCCCATTTCCAAATCGGCCTTGAGTTTCTGTTGCTGTGATCATATGTACACTGCCGAGGTCTAATTGTATCCATTCTTCGGGTTCAGTTGTTGCTTGCTTCTGGGGACACCAAGCACCTCCGTTTTTATCTGTACGAACTCTGCAACAAAATAAACTAGTGTTCAAGAATGACATTATATTAGCTAATATGGCGAATTCACTGATTTCCTAGTATGATATAACGTTAAATGGTAGTTTAACTAGTGTACCTCAGCAACAAATTTCAGTGCCAAAATAATGTAATGGATAGCATCTGATTCAACCAAATGGATTTTTCTTATTTTGATTATTGTAAATGTTCGCATGATGTAATGATCATGAACAAAAATTCTATCAAACAAAGCTTAATACGTTTATAAATTCATCAATTCAACTCAAAATTAAGTTATGTCTAATATATATCTACTGTAGCTACTATTTATAATCGTAAACACTATGTTTTGTTTTAAAATTTTTAACTTTTGTGCTAGTTTATATTTTTGTACATATTATTAATATTTTCATCATTATGGAACTATTGTTTACTTTTCTATATACGATATATTTAATTTGGAAATAAATTTGTATCTGTTCTTATCTACATATATACGGTATGTATTTCATCAGTTCGGACTTCCATTGTCTAATATAATATAAATTGATTTGAAATCCCTGAAAGAAATCAAACAAAAATAACAATAACACATAACAATTTTATTAAACAAAAAATTGAAATTACCAAGAAATAACACACAAGCAGCAACATAAAAAATAATAAAAAATTAAAAAAATTAACATGAAATGAAACTAAAAATGTAAAGATTCCAAACCAAGTTACGTCACGACGTTTCGATTATTAGTATCCACAATCGTCTTCGGGTGATAACTGGACGTATTCCTCCGAGATCTGACTATTTATAGGTCATTCGAGTGTTTTCACTTATCCCCTCTTCCCTCTCTACGCTTCATTGGTTTTAGCGGGAGACGACCGTTGGTCGGGAGTTGGTCGTTTTTCACTTGATTAGAGGTTTTCATATGTTACGTATTTATACGCTAGCTTGGCTAAAAGCATTGTTGGACAACATATACGCAGCTTCTTTGAATTTTCTCTTAAACCAGTGTTCCTCCTTGAGGATGATTTCAGCTTGAGCCCACTTGATGTTATGTTGATGAGTCCAAACATGTTCTGCTATTCCTGATTTGCTGGTTTCTCCTTGCTGTGTGTGTTTCTTGTACTCAGAAATGCGACCTTTCAATGGCCTCTTAGTTTCACCGATGTATGATTCTCCGCACTCGCAGGGTATCCGGTAAATGCAATTATTGGAATCGCAGTCCGCGTTTGGTGGCCTTGTTTTCGCGAGGCTGCTACGGATAGTGTTCCCAGATTTGAAACAGGTCCTGATGTTATACTTAGACCTGATCCTTCTTATCCTTTCCGATAATCCTCTGATGTAGGGAAGTATATGTACTGGTTGTGGAGGCTTCTCTTCCTTGTGGAGGTGTTGCTGTCTTCTAGCTAAAGCCTGTTCTACCATCACTCTGGAGTAACCATTCCGTTGAAGGTCATTTTTGATGATGCCTAGTTCCTTTTCGAGACCTTCCTTTGTATTAAAGAGCCCGAAAGCACGGTCTAGTAGAGTCTTGATGATTCCTCTCTTAGTCGATTGATGGTGGTTGAATTTCTGGTTCAGATACTGTCCTGTGTGAGTGGGTTTTCGATATACAGATGTTTTCCATTTAGTGTCGGTCCTCTTCACCAATACGTCTAAGAAAGGCAATTCGTTGTGAACTTCCATCTCCATTATGAAAGTGATGGAATGACTTACGTTGTTGATGTGCTTCAGGAAAGTGTCTAGTTCTACATCCCCATGATTCCATATTATGAAGGTGTCATCTACGTATCTCAACCAGACTCGGGGCTTCTTTAAAGACCAGAGTTTTTTAATTTTCAGCTTGTATATTATCTTTTAAATTTCTTTCAGGGATTTCAAATCAATTTATATTATATTAGACAAAGACAAAGTCCGAACTGATGAAATACACCACGAGATATATACAGTATGCTAGATATACGTCCACTAAGATTGTGACAAAAATTTTTTTAGGCTTTTTTCTGATTTATTTGTTGTTTACTTTTCAGTAAAACTTATGGCTTGAACTTATATTTGAATCACTAAGTTTCAATGTTTTGGAAATATCATTAAATAATTGTTAAAATGATCCCAATATGCCAAAAATAAAAGACACACTTTTCATGGTGGTCATTTTATCTGCAGTTACCTTATTTTCATTGAACTAATTGAATTTCCTCTTCTAGTGAAAGTGCTCAGTATAACAAATATTATACTAAACAACTTTTTAACACCATCACTGTTGAACGAGTGTTTGCTAAAAAAGACAAAAAGAAGCAATAAGCGACCTCACGTATGGTCTACCTCAAGACTCAGTCTTCGGTTCGTCTCTATTTTATATATAAGTGACCTGTATCAATATATTGCAACTACGAAGTATTTCCTTCGCTGAGGACATTTCACTTATTTACTCAACAAAATCAATGAGTGATCTGAATAAAACTGTTTCCAAAGAATTGATTCCATCAAAGATTGGTCTTGGTGTCCATAAACCCAAACTGTCTCTTTAATAATGACGTTATTTTATCTCTCAATTTGTTTTCAGAAGCCTTGATCAAGCTGGATATACGCAAGTGGACTGAAGCCTCTGGCGTAGAATAAATCCAAAACATGCACTGCACAAGGGCTTCGAGAAAAGTGTTGCAGTTCTGGTGTTTGAGATCAGTGCTTGTGTTATTTTCAATTCAAAAGTACATATTCCTTCACGGCAATATATTTTGAATTTTGACACGTTTTTGACAGATAAAGTCATTCATTGAATCGATCCATTTCAAGTGTTTCAGAATAGAGACACAAAACATTTTCAAAATACTATTATTTATAAATTCCAAAGCAATTTTTTTTATTTCGTAGTGTACCTTCTGCAGCTATACGTTGAACATTGTTTCACATAAATAATACCAATTAGAATTATGCAGTGTTCCTTTATTTTCTTCAACAATTGCTGTTTTCTCGTTCCATTTTATAATATTTTAGCATTTCTGAAATAGCACCATTTTCAGATACCTTCATATTTTTCTTCCATGTTTTATGATTATCAATGAAGAAAAAATTATTTGAATTAAAAGGTGTATAATTTGTAGGGGAGATAATCTTTCGCTAATTCTAATCTCTTCAGTTCTATAATCTTGATTTTGTACAGCATACTATGTTTATACTAACATTTCGAAAATCCGTTTAGTGTATTTAAATTAGCACTTCGACCTTGCTCCAACTCGCTATGATGGCTAGATATCAGCACATCCTAGGAAGGGTGAATTCCTTCCTGTTGAGTTTCCATGAAAGCCCGTTTATCGTTTGACCTTTGTATGATAAGCACCAGGGATCTTTCCGGTGTACTGGAAACAAGCTTTTTGGGAGAATATACTTCGTGACTACGGTATTTCTTACGTTCAAGGTCAGTGAATAATTCCAAATTGAAACGAATGTTTTGGCTGGGTGAGTAAAGTCACATCCACCTTAATTGAAAAAATGAACAACACAACATTACGAAGAAAAATATTTCAAGTACAGGCATCGGAAACGTAGTTACAAAACTCTGGATGGGCTCAGTTTTGTTCAATGTATTATTTACTTTCAATGTATTATTTACTAGTAGTTGCCTGCGGCTTCGTCTGCGTAGAATTTGGTTTGTCACATCAAGTTTCGTGACAGACTATTTTGAACAAATTAATATTTTTACTTCAAAAACACAGTAACAAAAAAAAATTTAAGAAATTAACTTTAAACGTTCAAGCCAGTATCGAATATGCCTACACAGTAGGTTAATTGGACTGACGCCTATCAGAAAAAAACTATTCCACTGGCTAATACCACGAATGACGTTGGATTATATCCGACAGGTGTCAGTGCAGGATTCATCACAGAATAACGTTTTTTTTGGTACCTTGGGAGTTGTCTGACTTGTCCATTTAGTCCAAGTATCCAAAAAACACTGCAGCCTCTTGGGCTTATTGCATTTATTCTTCCATCTTCTCATGACACCCATTCCATCAGTATCGTTCCCTGTACTAGTTTGTACAGGTTCTGTGTTGGATGCTCGTCATATTCTTCTGGACGTAATTTCGTACGTCCATATATTGCCTACCTCCTGTGATTCAGTGCCTCACATTCGTGTAGAGCTATTTCTATCCCTTCATTGCATAATCTGCAGTTGAGGTCTTTGTTGTACAGCCCCATTTTATTCAGGTATCCTCTAAGCGGATAATGGCCGGTTAGTAACCCAGTAATTATTCTGAGCCGATCCCTACTATATTGAAGTAGTTCTTTGGTTCTTTTCTCGGGCGGTTCCCTAATGAAGGTTCTACTGTGTTTGTTGCCAGGTACTTTTGTCCAGTACTCTGTGTGCTTCTTTTTGGTCCATGTCCTAATCTGGTTTCGTACCAATGATTTTGGTACTCCCAGACCTGGTTGAGGACCTATATATGAAGTTGATGATCCGCGTCTAGCGCATTCATCAGCTTTATCATAACCTGTGACTCCTGAATGCTCTAGCACCCAGTACAAAATTAATTTTTTTCTGTTTGCAGGTTCATTCAGTTCTTCATGGCATTCCCAGACCAGTTTTTATGTCACCTTCGGGTTTGTCAGAGCCCCTAGTGCGCTCTTGCTGTCTGTTAAAATTCTGATTCGCTCATTTCTTTGAGGTCTCAATTTAATAAGCCTTGCACACTGCAAGATAGCATACACTTCCGCCTGAAAGACGGATGTGTATAGTCCTAGCGAATAGCTGTAGGTTGAATTTCTATCCGCTCGGTATATTCCAGCTCCCGTTCCATGTTTGGTCTTCTATCCATCTGTATACCAGGTGTTTTTTCCAAACATGTTTTCGGGATGACTAATGTTCTTCCACTTTTCACGGCTTATGATTTTGGTTAAGGTGTGGTCCGTGCACATATTCAATATGTGCTCCTCCACTTGTTCCGAAATTTCTGTTCGGTCCGATCTTTTGTAGTTCGGTGAGTTTTACAGTCTGAATTGGCCTATCCTG